CTAACCCTTGGGGTGAGCCGTGGTCAGTATGAATCTCATTAAACTATCAGTTTATACTAATAAGTCTAAGCAAGATTGAACTATTTCTAAAAGAAAATGATAAATTATGCTCAAAAATGTAATTTTCCTGTATAAACTAAAGAAAACTTTACCCCCTCACCAGGGGGTAATTTGAGACATTGGATCATGAAATTAAGATCATTTCATTCTACCCTACATGTGATTTAAGAAGATTTTCAGTCAATTTAAACCTTTTTGGCCCCGCCTCTAAGGCCGTTGTGGGTCAGGGACCACATAATTTACAATTTTGGTACGCCATGGAATCATGTATCATTTCATTGAAATCGATTCGGGAGTTTTCCAGAAGTCGAAAATGTTAAAAGTTTACCACGCATGATGCAAAACGCACGACACTGGACAAAAGGGGTTCGCAATAGTTCGCCATGAGACTTTGTCTCCGGTGACCTAATAATTAGATATAATTTGATGCGAGGAACTCTGTACAATAGTCAACTTTAGAAATCAGCATTTTGAGGAAGTTGGAAAATGCACATAATATGGGTAATAATATGTCGACCTTTGGTCTAGATCCTTTGGGTAATGCAGATGTTGTTTTATTCAGATAAATATGTATCGTGCTCATGACAGAGATTTGACAGTTTAAGCCAGACAGCGTAGAGAGTGTTTATCTGGTACAATTTTCTGGCTTTAATTTGGTGTCAAATGAACAAACAGATCAAATATTCCACTCATTAAATGATATTCCAAGCCCATGATGTTGACTCCGACGTCTCTCGTTCACTTCCTATCTGAGATATTCACGTGGGATTGAGTGAATCTTCCTCCTCGATTCCTAGCTGCACCATTTTGTTTCACTAGCAATTCTAGAACTTAAATTCAGAGATAATAAATTTGGCATCCATTATCAGAATACCATCTGTGTCTCTTGTGTTTTTTTTATAATTTCCTGAGGGGATAGGTTCCTAGGTAGATAATTCCTTTATCTGCATGCCCACTACACATCCCTAGACATCACATGATATGTGTTTAATGCTGATTCCAATCGGACCATTCCTAATCATTGGAAATTAGGTGTTGAATTCCAGCCTTTAGCTTCTTCGTGAGGCATTGTTACGGCTTCGTGTACGTAGTCTATTCCGTTGTAGAACATACATGCATCCTCCCACACTCATGGAGTGAAAAGAAAATTGATACAAAAAAACAACAACAAAACAGATTTTTTTCCCATCGATTATTTCAAACATTATATTCTAAAAAATCAAACTTCTGTCCGATTGATAAAAACTTTGGATTTTACTTTCGGAACGCTATAATTGTCTGCGTCTGGGTTTTTTTTTTATATATATAATTTCGGATCTAGGCAACGCATATCAAAAGAACAGTCAAACGTCGCATTTATGGGTATTATTTTACGTAATGAAAAAGAAAATCGTTGTTTTCTTTCTTTTTTTATTTATTAGTATTTTTGTTTTTCCGGTTTTGGGTGCACATTAATACGATAAATGGGATTTTTCCTTGCTCTAGATTTACTCTCGATTCCTGATAAAGCCATGTAACAGGATCGTATCCTTTATTGGATGTTCAATTTCCGATTTATGACGATGCCGTGTTGATGGTATTCTTGGAACCTTTTACAGCTTATCACTATCCACTCTAATAGAATGAAAGGGGAAGAAAATCGGAGAGAATTGCATGCGTTGCTGGAACATGTTCTTGACTTGACATCTTCTTTTCGATTTCTAATCAAGCCATGTGAAGCTGCCGAAATTTCTAGACTACCTTTGAATTTCTGACGAAGCTATGCTGCTGGTACGTGTTCAAGATTTACATTCCAATTCAAGAAGCCTAGAAGCTGGAACATTTTCTTGGTCAGGGATAAACATAAGATTTTAATATTCGAACCTTAAAGAGACATGAAGCTAGGCCGTGTCTATGATTGAGCATTCATTTTTAAGTAAAGATGAAGACATGCAGATAACCCATGACCTCTACTAATGAAGACATGCAGATAATCCATGAACTCTACTGATTAAGCCATGCAGATAATCCATGAACTCTACTGATTAAGCGATGCAGATAATCCATGACTTCTACTGATGAAGCCATGCAGATAATCCATGACCTCTACTGATGAAGCCATGCAGATAACCTATGAACTCTATTGATGAAGCCATGCAGATACCCCATGACCTCTACTGATGAGGCCATGCAGATAATTCATGAACTCTACTGATGAAGCCATGCAGATACCCCATGAATTCTACTAATGAAGTAAATGCTGAGCGGACATGTCCTTGAATCGAGACTTGCAATCATTTCCACAGTAAGCAGTGAAGTATGGACGTGTTCCTTTATCCAAATCAAATTTCGATCAAAAATGAAGCCATGTACGAGGGGCATGCCCTTGAATCTAAATTCATCTTCATTCCCGGATGAAGCCATGAAGCTGGAGATGTTAACTTTCATTCCTTTTTGAAGCCATGTTGCTGGGGCGTGTCCTCGACATGATTTTTACTTTCATTCCCTGATGATGCCGTGGGATGTTTATTTCCATTCCCCTGTTGGATCCACGCAGCGGGGGCGTGTCCTCGACATGATGTTAGTTTCATTCCCTAATGAAGCCATTCATCTGGGGCGCATCCTCGACTAGGTTTCTACTTCATTCCCTTATGAAGCCATAAAATTGGGGCACATCCTCGATTTCTACTTTTATTATCTGATGAAGTCACATGACTTGGGCTTCTTGAACTTGTTTTCTTGATTGATTCTACCCTCGTTAAGACCGTAACAAAGTTTCAGGTGTCTATAACTTCTACCACTTTCATTTTTGTAGGACCGTCTAATGTGATCCAATTACAAGACCCCCTAAAAAGAGTTGATCACTCACTGAGGTGCCTATGATTGTAACTAGCAATTAAAATACACATGATTATTTAAATAACATACATATATATATAACATGATCATAATAGTCTATATCACTCGCCGTGATATTTCAGAAATCATGACAGAATGCTTCAATTAAATGAAATTGATCATGAATGACAGACACTAGCTCAAGTTAGTCGTTAGTTAGTCTATAGGCGAAAAATCCTTTGACGGGAGAATGGTTTACTTGTACCTGAAGATATATACTTATTGTACAATTATGAAATCGATAGTAAGATGATATTTTTTGACAGAAATAGGGTGACTCAATACACAAATAACCCTGCCGATTTCCAGGTATCTCTTCGACTCCAGGAATATTGTCACCAAAACATTATAAACAGATCCGTGATGGATCTTGGCGCACACCATTGTTTGGTTTTATTTCTTCTTTCAAAGAGGGACCTTTTCCCATCTTTTCTATTATATATTCAGTACAGCCAAACATCATCACTACAACTCCCGTTGGCATCGCTAGCGGAGGAGTTCAAGGCACCAGGGATGACGCTGCGAGACTCTGAGGAAGAGAAGTTGAGCCACAAGAATCAAGACTAGGACAGAAAGGATGTTGTCTGCAATCCGTGGATCAGGCCGAGGGAGCTCTCAAATACCAGAACATTGTCTGGGCAACTGGCCCAGGACGGCAAAGTTTGGGAACACTCATTTCCAGAGGAAGGATGGTTCAGCTGACAAAAGCGAAAAGAGCTGTAGTGCAAGGGGAAATCTACAGAGTAGGAGGATGGACTAGGATAGCAAGTACAGCTGAAATGGGCTTGCAAGGAGCTTGGACAATATGGAGCCTGCCAGAGCAGAAACTTACATGGTCTGACCTATGCCGCTACGAACCAATGAGAATCTCCTGGTGCTGTCGATTTACGACACTCTATCTTCACTAGCAAACCTTCGCCAGTGGGAAGTAGTGGAGAAGCCAAAGTGCCAGCTTTGCACAGAACGTGGGACCATGGGACAAATCGTGTCGGCATGCAATACCGCATCTACACAGGGTTGGTACCGGTGGAGCCAGGTGCTTCAGGAATTACCGGACATTTTCGAAGTAAAAGGTAGAAGAGAACATGGAGTATGTACAAACCATCATTCACATGGTTTGTTAAAGCAGGCGAGCAGGAGACGGAAGCTACAGTGAGAAACATTGACATTCTGGAAGAGGCACAGCCATGGGAGATGGGTCTGCTGATTAAAGGCATATTTTAGACATCGAACTGACGTTGCCCCGAGAGGATCAGTTGCTACCAGGATAATGAGCGGAAAAGGGCAAAGTACCCAGATTTCATGAAACAGTGTGGACAGCATGGGTGGCATACCTGGCTCTTTCCTGAAGAGGTAGGATGAAGACAGTTCCCACCAGCAACCACAGTCTGGTGAACACTTCGGACTTTGGGTGAATTTGAGAAGACAGGTAAGATGGCAGTGTGCAGACTAGCCGAGGCTGCCGGACCTGCATCTTCCAAACATCTCTCTACACTTCCACTACATAAATTGTCCATCGCCTTATAGCTACATAACATGTGGGCTACTTTCACTATGGAAACATAAGATGCAGAGCTGTAGATTTTAGGGAGCATTAATCTATTGGTTCATGTAACACATTAACAGATTTTTATTGAATGATTCTGATATCCGTGCTATCTGGCTTCACTTAAGTAGTCACATCTTATTTTGCTTGTAGTACTTACTATTTTCGTTACAGTTATATGCTCTGTATAACACTGAAGTGTTAAATATCATTTACATGTAACATTTCCTACTAATGACTTCTTGATTGCTTGACAGAAATTAGTACTAAAAACCTGTTGAAAACTTAGTATCACTTTTGATCTTGGATATCTCCAAAGAAATTGAATTCCAAAATACATATGATATTAAGTAATATAACAGGTGAACAAACTATGGCATTTGTATATACTGTAAGTATGCATCTCTCAACACCAAAAAAGAAACGATGTCAAGACATTCATATTTTTAACAGCATATCAAATTTTATACAAGACATTACTTTACATCATTAAATACTTAAAAGAAAATAAAAATCGTTTTAATATATAACAATTTTATCTATATTTTCTAAGTTGTACTTTATTTAACCAATGTATCACATATTATCACATGTACGGCACAACAAATTTCCTCTTCAAAGCCCACAAAAAACAAGGACAAAAGGATCACATTTACAGTGTAGCACTCATATGTATAGTATTCTGCACTATAGGAGCACTTTGATATTGCATGTTAATTAAAAGAGTGGGAATACTTGGAATCAATTTAATTCATGTCTAGGATTTTGCACACCATTATAAATCCATTTAAGTTAGACATAACAAAAAACATATGTTAAGAAAAAAATAAGTAGAACTGAAAAAACTGCCCATTTTTTGTTGTATTTTTTCTTTGATATCTGAAATAGCTTTCGATTGCTTAAGGTGACACAAATTTCAACCCATTGCTTCAGATTCAGATGTCTATACACTAAAATTTAATATGTTTTTGATAACACACATCAAAGTAAAAAAGGAATGAACAGAAAGCAATCAGCAGCAAGGAAGTAATATTTCTTTAAAAAAATACAGCTAAATTACATACTTTTCTTAACCTGCCACCTACTAGCTTTTAACAGAATGATACAACATATGGCGATAAAATGTAACTTTCATTTACATAAGGGAAATAACTCCTGCATTAACATAATTTCTTTCTGACAAAATCACAACCCATACAGTTAATGCATTGTACAATATTCTTTATCTTTAAAGTATAAATTAAATACTCAGAACCTGGTAAACTGTGCATACATTTAATCTTTTGGTTAAGTAGATACAAATTTACAATTAATACTTTAATAAGTACAAGTATATTGCTTACTCACATGCTGTAACACGTATAGTTTAAAAGCACTATTTTTTTTCTATAATTATTTATATCTGACATATATATTTCTTGTCTTACATGATATGATCTCATGTACTCATGATCCTGTCTCTCCATAGATCACAAATAATGATTACTATAATAATACTGTAAGTTCCTTTCACATCCTATCATCTTGAAACAATCAACAGTTTAATATATAATTTTAAAATTTTGTAAACACTGGAAAGATCAATTTCCACACGATAAACTGACAATCTGATAAATATTCCCACATGATAGATATCTGTAATTAAATGGGATCATTCCATTAAAGTCAGCATGCAGGCCCTAGTTGTTAAAAGCTTGATTAGATTTAACCAGTGGTAGATGAAATATTTTAAATAATATTTAAACCAGATATTCTTCACCATTTTGTATCAGTAGATCTGCTTAAACAGATCAGACTGATATATTTGGAGTGTCAATATGATTCAAAAGATCTTGCTTCAGTGGCAGCAATTAATTTGAGCAACTTGGGCCAGATGGACGTGTCCAAGAGAAAGCGATCTACTGATCATTTATCTGATGAAATGGACAGGACACATCTATTAGTCAATAAATCATTTCACATAACACAGTGCTGGTTTTTGTTTATGTACAAATTATTTATATAACTAACAAACCTAAATAAAGTGTTTGTAAATATGTTAAGGTCAAACAACTGCTGACAAGGCATATTTCACCAAGCTTTGCCTATATAAGTCAAGTCTGTTATCTTTTCTAATAAAAATAAACAAAACAAAAAAAGTATTAAAAAAAATAGCCCTTGAATATTTTTTCCAAAGAAATCCTCCTGTTTCTGTCATACTTTACTTTAACAATAATTGCTTTTTTAAGACCAATGATGTGGTGTGATAGATACCTTCTTTGTATATTATGTGCTATAAAAGCTACTCTATACAGAATGAAATTGACTATGTCCATATGAAATGGTCTGATAATAATCAATATACATATATACAAAATATACATTTTTACAGATTTTATCATTTTAACGAAGTATTCTCAGAAAGTTTCTGATTCCAATGATTTGCTGTAGAGAATTTATACATTCTACATTATATATTGCTTTGCTGACAAACTTTGCCTGTCAATATCAAAAACTTAGTATGCAACATATATTTTGATACTTCAAATTTTTTCAAAATAAAACAATAAATCATTGAATGAGTCAAACCATTTGATAAATCACCATGACAAAATGAGGTGACACAAAAAATGTCTAGTATTTCTAAAAGTATGGAGAAATGTCCTTCTGTATTCTAACCTAATTTTAGTAATTTCTGTTCATAATCAATAATACACACACCAAACTGTTCAAACCTTGAGAGGTACCATTTCATAGTTTCAAGGTCACAATATCATCAATATTGCAGCAGCAGATCGAGTTATTATGTACACAAAGAATAAGTAAATCAAAACCTGTTTTAGTAAATCAATCCCAGCATATTTTAAATGGTTATCTAGTAACACTTAACAGAGCTAGCATTTCATGTTTATAACATGTCGTATACAACATCAACTCAAATGAATTTTCCTTAATTTTGAAATACGAAACAATTCAGCAAATTACAGTTCCCTACCAATTGTGAAACTATATGCAGAGAATGCACTGCAAGTGAACCCATACCCCAGGTATGGAATTCTGATTAAGAGTAGTGTACGGGAAAGAACCCTGAAAACAGTTTTTCTTTGATGTAGGTCAAAGGTCAAAATGTAGGTCACACAAGAAGTATCCAGAACTTAAAAAAGATAGCAGACAGAAGGACAGATGGACACATGGCAAAACTATAGTCATCTCTACTTCCAGGAGAGAACATTTTTTGCCATTTTTTCTAATTCAGTAACCAGAGTATTGATTTTTGGATGAGAAAGGGGTCTAGGTTTCTATTCCTTAACACATAATATCTAATTTTTACTTGATTCAAGTGCTAGTATGAATTTATACAGATATGATTCTGATTTGCATCCCATTATTGGTAATTATGGCGCAGTTTGGTACATATCTATTGCATGCTTATTTGCAAACCACAAATATCTTATCTTAAACTAAAAATCACATCCTTTAGCATAAGCCACGCTGGGAAGAGTATCTGTTAAATTTTCCATGGCAGTGCAAATAGGAATCATATCTAGGAAATAATAGATCTGTAACAACACCTCCAGATAAGCACAGGAAATTATTCCACACTCATTTGTAGTAATGCATTAATTGTTGAGTCCTTGTTTCCACGGTTTGCTTCCAGGACAGATTTAATAGCCTCCTCATCCATATTAGGAAACATGTCCTTAACCTGTTTGAGGTCATCTTCTGTGTACAGAGGGCGTGTTTGTTGTGGACCAGCAGTTGGCTGGGATTGGGTCTGTTGGACTTGCTGTCCTTGTGTTGGGTAAACTACAACATAAACATAAAAAATACCACTATGTCCTCATCTTATATGAGAAAAAAAAAATTTGCCATTATTTCTTCCAACTTAGTTCAGTTTCAGAAAAACCCTCTGCAAATTATAGACTACAAACAAGTGTTGTGTAATACATGTTCGGTACTACATGCAAACAGGTGTTATGTAACACATGTTGGGTACTATTTTCAAACATGTGTTGTATAACACACATTTGGTACAACTTACATACAGGTGTTGTGTAATGCATATTGGAGACTACTCACCAACAGCTTTTGTGTAATGCTTTTTAAGTACTACTTACCAACAAGTGTTGTGTAATACATGTTAGTTAATACTTACCAACAGGTGTTGTGTAATACATGTTAAGTACAACTTATCAACATTATTTGTGTTATACATGTTGTGTAATACATGTTAGATAATACTTACCAACAGGTGTTGTGTAATACATGTTAGGTAATACTTTCCAACAGGTGTTGTGTAATACATGTTAGGTAATACTTACCAACAGGTGTTGTGTAATACATGTTAGGTAATACTTACCAACAGGTGTTGTGTAATACATGTGTTGGGCTACTTACCAACAAGTGTTGTGTAATACATGTTAGGTAATACTTACCAACAGGTGTTGTGTAATACATGTTAGGTAATACTTACCAACAAGTGTTGTGTAATACATGTTAGATAATACTTACCAACAAGTGTTGTGTAATACATGTTAGGTAATACTTACCAACAGGTGTTGTGTAATACATGTTAGGTAATACTTACCAACAGGTGTTGTGTAATACATGTGTTGGGCTACTTACCAACATGTGTTGTGTAATACATGTTAGGTAATACTTACCAACAGGTGTTGTGTAATACATGTTAGGTAATACTTACCAACAGGTGTTGTGTAATACATGTTAGGTAATACTTACCAACAGGTGTTGTGTAATACATGTTAGGTAATACTTACCGACAGGATTTGTGTAATACATGTTAGGTACAACCACAGGCTGTTGATAGGTAAATGATGTGGGTGCTGAGGCAGGCAGATTTTCCAGAGGCTGCAGACAAATATTATTTATTCAGTTTTAATATAAATGTACTTTAAACTCTACGGATCAACATATTGTGCCTCATACTGAAAAACAAGAGTTTAAAGAAAATATTCAAACATATCTGACCTACCCACAAATTCTTACATGATGTTCAAGATATTTGACTTCATTCAATATCAGGGCAATAACAAAATTGTCTGTATTGTGTACTTAACATCTACATCATTTCAAGGATTTCTGCAATGTGTACTCAATATCTAGGTCCTTACGAGTTTGTTCAGTACTGTGCAAATATCTAGGTCATGACAATTTCTTCAATATTATGTACTCAATATCCAGACTGTGTAAAGATTGTCTGTATTATCTACTTACTGTGAATGTCATCACTAAATTGATCATGCCCTCCTTCTCATCACCTTGTTTTCCACTGAGGGGGAACCAGTTATCCCCAGTGTCCCCATTTAGGACTCCCTGTGGTATTGTAATATATGCCCATGCTATTCTGTCGTCCATAGTGAACTGTCTCTGTTGATGAAAAATAAAAAACAAAAGACAAATTATGAATGCCATTCAAAGGTAATATAATACCCAGTGTTTAACTTACATGTACATGGTATACTATTTCTGAGTTTTTATTTTCTATATTTTCACTGAAGGTATTTTGCATTAAATTGTGAAGTTAATTGTAAGAAATTCTTGTAGTTCATGACCACTCATCTCAAAGATTATATTCAGGTGTGTGTAACGTAAATAACTGACGTCCCCCGATTAACCCGTAATGGTTGTAAACTACACCTAACATTTCTAGCACAATATAGACTTGTCTGTGTATAATTTCACAATGAAAATGATCAATTATGACAATAATATGAAAAAAATGTATACTGTACTGGAACATCAAAAACAGAAATAAAATATGGTACATGCTGATTCACAAAACCTGCTCTATTCAAAAACCAAAACTTGGCCTAATTTTGCATGAAATAAATCTGATTGGGAATTGGACTCTTATTTGGCACCAGAGAGCCCTAAGAAAAAGGCCTGACAAATTATGATTCACAACAAGCTGATAATTTCCAAAAAGTTATTTTACTTACCTCATCAAATATTTCAACATATATACTTTCTACTCCATGCGGCAGATATCTTAAAGAGAAACCAATATCATTACAGGTGAACAAAACACAAACAACTTTTGATTTTATCTGAATCCAAACAACCTCTATATAACTCCTAAACAAAAGTCCAGGAAGTTAGATTATCTTATCATTACAATGTAGGGTACTGATGAGAAAGATAGTACTGTATAGTGAATGTATCAGAGAGATATAAACAGGATGTACACAGTATTGTATCACAATATAACATAGTTTAATCTGTAGTGTATTAGAAAGGAAGAACAATGTTTACACGGTAGTACATCAAAGAGGAATCATAGATCTTGATTATTAAGTGTACATGGTAATGTATCATGGTGTGTACACCATATATTATAACATAGAACACAGAATTCACTGCCCTATACATCAAAGTAGCAAATTGTATGTACACTATAGTGTATCACATAGTTTTACACTATAGTGTATCACATAGTTTTACACTGAAGTGTATCACATAGTTTTACACTATAGTGTATCACATAGTTTTACACTATAGTGTATCACATAGTTTTACACTGCAGTGTATCACATAGTTTTACACTGAAGTGTATCACATAGTTTTACACTGCAGTGTATCACATAGTTTTACACTGAAGTGTATCACATAGTTTTACACTGCAGGGTATCACATAGTTTTACACTGAAGTGTATCACATAGTTTTACACTGCAGTGTATCACATAGTTTTACAATGAAGTGTATCAAAATGATGAAGTTCACACAGAAGTGTAACATCGAGGGACAAAATGTATCAAAGTGTACACTGTAGTGTATCAGAATAATGATGTGTACATTGAAGTCAAAAGGAGGAGCAAAGCATACACTAGTATATCACTGAGGTGTTCAAGCTCAGGAGGAAAATCTGAAGAGTAGGATTTAATCTGAATTATTCTACAACAATACATATATATTTTTTGAGTTACATAATACCTACACTGAAACCTCCTTATTCCAGTGTGGGTTCTTGGCTCCGTTATATGCTGTTGGTGTCTCAAAAACTGAATGTCCCAATCTCACCCTTACATAAGGATCCATCTTTGTAAGACCATAGTTTTTTGCTAGTTTTGCCTGAAAGAAAAATAATACAATTATGTTTTCTTTGTCTTTCAAGTGTCTTTTAAAATCTTATAAAATCATCTCTTCCTGAAACAAACATTTACAGCTGTCCAAACATGTCACATATACATTCACATTGATGTCTCTACAAACCTTGATTTAAAACTAATCATATACAATATATATATTGTGTAACAATAAAAGAAATATGCAAAATAACTCAAATGTGCTTAACATTCCATGAAAAATGAGCAGTCTTGAGTTACACAATAGACAGAAGTATATTTATGCAACAAACTATCATTAGATTGTAGTATAAAGCTATATTGAATATAATTTGGGTGACAAATATAATTTTATTCTGATATAATTTTTGAGTTTTGTTTGGTTACTTATTTTTTTTCTTTTTTTTTATTTGAGGTTTTCTTACTTAAGAGCGATATTAATGGATATGTCAGTATATTGATACCAAAGTGACCAGCAGCCATGTTTTATTCTAGATGTATTCCTACTGACAATGACAAAGATTTTCTAAATATAGAAATAGTAACCTTTTGATGCTTTATAAGTGTGTAAAAATTTGATGGAAAGTTGTTAAAGTGCAAAAACATTTTATCACAGATGCTTTGACAGACAGATGGATGGGGGAAAAAACTTCAGTCTCCTCTTGTTTCACTGGAAAGGTACTTATTGATAAGGCATATAAATCTACATGATGCATTAAGCACAACATGTTAGGAAGGTAAAACCTGTAAACAAATTCTGCAGGGTCTACTGAAATTCCTATGAAACTGATTTTTACTTCCACTAGTATGTACTATATATGATACATGAATCTACACTACCTGAATGATGCTGAGGTTTAGCCTTCCTGTGACATTGGCCGGAATAGAAGAAAAGCCTCTTGCTTGCTGGGCCTGCAGCACCTGAGCCACTCGGCTGTCTGCTATCACCTGTTGCTGCACAGAACTGGAAGGCATACGCAGGAAATCTTCTGGTAATTCTCCTACCATCACCTACAACACAGCAATGATACTTAACTGTTAAAAAAGCTTATACATGTAAATGTTATACATATCACAAGGTTTTCCTTCAATGACTTCGAATCAAATCTCAGTCAATGTAAACACTATTAAACAACATGCAATATCTTGTACAAGAGTAGAGTACACAATAAAAACTGCCTGTACATGAAGAAAAAGGTGTTCTTGTAGAAGTCTGTCTTGAATTTTGAATTATTTCATTATTACCTTGTATAATTACTTAGAAGGTTGGGCATAGTCCTGCATTTGAAGGATAGTTACCATTTTTAGTAATCATTTCATTACTTAAATGCAAGGTCATTCTCAAATAAAGACATATAAAGTTTCTTTTTTAAGTATTGGCAACGAAAAAGGCCATCCCATTTTTACATGGTCCAATAACCAAAGGAACATGGTACATGTTTACACAAAAAGTTAAGCAGGCTCCATCTGTTTTTTTAATCACAAACTTTATCACCTCCAGTATTTCTCAACTGATTATGTGACTGAAAATAGAACACAGGTAAATATATGCTCGCTTATGACATTTGCACTAAATGTTGACGCTGATTATATTCAGTTATATAAAACGTCATTGAACACAAAAGTTATGTAACAGAAGCGAACATTTCCTATGCAACTATATTCAGTGTCACATTGGACATATCAAAAAGACGACGCCTTTTTGTTGCAAATTTCTAAACAAACCTTACGAGTTTCTATTTGAGAATGACCCTGCATTTGGATACCTAAATGATTACTAAAAGCGATGCATTTTCCCAAATGCATGATATTACGTACCCATATGAGGGGATTATACCCAAACTTCTGGTTATATGACTGTAATCATTTCGATATTGAACATGTTATAACAGACAATGATAAGTGCTTGGGTCGTTTACAGGCACCTGTATCTCGAACATAAACAAATCACGTACAACTTAGGTTCAGTATGTTGTGTTTGAGATATTTACGACTTCCGTTTACAACCACAGCACAATAGAAAATAAATGAAAATTACCAAGAGCCCTACAAAAATATGCATCCATATCACAAAATGAAAAAGCCGCACCAACCTGATTCCTGCGACTAGCCTGAGCTTGCTGATCTGTTGTTGTCATCTTCGTTATCAGGCAGATTGTTTTGAATGACGCACTGTCATGAGTTGCTTCCTAAAAGGTAACTAACTCTTGTTTACCTTTTCCGTTTCCGGTGTAGAAAATCCTTTTAAACAAAAACAACAAACAAAAAATTTTAGTCATAATTATATCATATTGTATCAATAAATATATTATGAAATAATACTGTTACAACGTGGATACAATTTTACGAAATAATCATATCTTTTAGAATTGTAACGTATTCTATTTTGTTCCGTCTCTTCAACTATTCCATATTTCACGGTTAGACGATTTACAGGATCAGGCAGGATCGGGCAGAGTCGGGGCAGGATCGGGCCAGGAAAGCAGGGTCCACGACGTCGCGACGATTTACCCAAATATACCCAAATCTTTCCCAAATTGGACTATGCGGTGATATATTTCTGATAGTGTTACTTTATTTTCTATACTGCCGACAGCATTATTACTAAGTATAGTCACTATCCTTTGCTATTTTAATTATACTATGAATCTACAAATCAACCACTCGATTCTGCCACAGGCACTCGAGGCCAGGATATTATTTTTTAAACATTGATTTTTGTTTTAGCACTCATGACTGACGTTATTTAAACGAAATATCAGCAGAATTCAAGTTTATGTGCCGGTTGACAAATCCGAGGTCCACGGTCATTAAAAATGTATCCTGTAAATCGTCTTTCGGTCTTGCTCGACCAAAACAGATATGAGTGTTTTATGTAATACGTCTTCATTTTTTCTTTCTTTCTTTTTTTTTTGTAATACATCTTGATTTTTCCTTAAAACCTTATCATAATGTTCAACATATAATGGTTTTAATGCAAAAGAAATCCATTACGATAATTGAAACGGCACTATTCTACCCCGATCCTGTAAATCGTCTTTCGATCCTGTGCGACACATTACGTTATGTGAAAAGAACACAATATCTTTTTTGGCCATTTTTGATCAATGTGAAACTATAATGTTTAACCACGGACTTATATACACATATAAGTCCGTGGTTTAACTGATATCATTTAACAACACAATAATTACACTAAAACAAGTTAATGCCCAAATTTTACATATAAGAAGCCCGATTCTGCCCGATCCTGTAAATCGTCTTTCGGTCTTGCGCGATCAAAACAGATATGAGTGTTTTATGTAATACGTCTTAATTTTTCCTTTGGCCTATTCATAATGTGTAACATATAATGTTATCAATGCAAAAGAAATTCGTGAAAATCATTAAAACGGCACTGTTCTACCCCGATCCTGCCCAATCCTGTAAATCGTCTGGCCCCATATCTTAAACGCCTTCTTCCGACTCGTCAAGCAAAGGGGAATCCCGTGAAAAGACCCAGTTTCAAAATAGTATTGAACGTAGGCATCTTGTTGCGTAAGAACTAGGTATGTAATGTATAGATTGTGAAACAATGGTTGTCCATTTGATACTGAATGAATATGAAACGTGGTTCCGTGATAATCTTCACTCTCGCCGGAAAAAAAACCCTGGAGACTTCCGCTGTATCTCGAAGGGTTGACTGGTTGAGATAATTACCAGTTTACCATGACTTTGACAGCACAATACATACATAAAATACTGCATTTTTATCTGTATGAAGTCCTTCTGACTCCCTTATTATTGGCCAGTCAGTTAGTAAACATGACATAACCTTCATTATGTTGAAGTAGCTCATTACTTGGTTGAAGTATTTATAATAAACCCAACAAGATCACATCAACTGGGTGTCTAAACATAGTTATTGTACTACTATACGGGACATGTATAATTGCTGCTATATTTCGCTTTTAGAACGTCCGATTCCTGTGATTAGACAAGCCCCTATAGTCAAAACACTTTGCTTGTAACAATAATTTCCAAGATCAAATTTACATATAACCAGGGACGTATATATACGTCCCTGATATAACCAAGGATGTTTGCTTGTAACAGTGTAGAAGATGAGAGTACCAATTGCCTAACTAGCCACGGCTAGTGGGAATTTCCATTTATTTGAGCACTAGAGCATCCAGCTACAGATGGTATTTTTTTGTCAATCTCAATTGTGAAATGATAATTCTTGATTTTAACTACTGAAGCAGGAATGTTGAAAGATCTGTAGAATTCCTGCAGCTTTAGTATCATGATTTAACATTATCAAACTATGCACCTCAGATCTTTACTTGAGATCATGTAGGCCAACACTCTACTGAATGATCAGCTAAACCTTATTTCACTCATAAAATTCTGTTTCTTGTACTTATGTCATATCTTGAATATAAAGTTGTAATTGTCAACTGGTATATATGTTTTTTTTTATATTACAATTATACATGTAACAAACAAGATAAAAGTAGAGGGCAATTTAAGCTGCAAGTTGCATATATAGTTTGGAAATGTATGTACCTTGTATGGCATACATATATATATTAGTTGGTTAGATATTTCAGATTGTTCCACCTTTTTAAAAATCGCAGTTTGAGATGTATACTATTATAAGCTGTCAATGAATCTTGTACTATCTCAACGCAGTAACTTTAATAGTGTTCAACATTACTGGAAAGATTCTAATTCCTACTGCTATGTGCTTTATGATGCACCGTCAATGTGAAATATCTGACAATACATTTGTACTGATGTTTACATCGTTAAGTTTGAAAAAGATGAATTACATACAGCTGTAGCCATATGCAGGGGCCTGAGAACTTGTTAAACATGTAGATGTATTTGAATCTCACACAATTTGTCAGTCAACACCACCCTGCCCAAGCCCCCACACCTACATTTTATTATAAGTAAAGGGTAGAAAGCTCATGTCACAAAATCAACCTTAGTGATGGTAAAATAATATATTTCCAGTGGATTTACAAAAACATCCATTGGTTTTTCACCAATAATAAATTCTAATACCTCATTTGAAGACTCTCGCATCGTTGAAAATAGAATTGTTTCTGTATAGAGAGTTATTTATGTGGTACAAAACATTTACATATACAAATTTTATTTGAAAACAAGAAGTTAATTTTTTGTAGTCAAGAATATAATACATATTTGTAAAAAGATGCATGTCATGTATTGGCTATAAATCATTCATCTTTCATAAACAGTTGTAAATGTATAGATTTTAGCACAGATCTTCTTTAATATTGCAGCTAAACCTGTATCATGACCAGTGCAGAGAGAAACACTGACTATGACAATCCCCTGGTTGTCCCTTACAGCTCAAGCGCAAGATCACAGTCCTCACTCTGAACCTAGCACAGAAACGGACCTCTTCAACAAGTTTTCTGTTGTTTTTCTTTATGCCAACAATTCCGAGATTATAGAGAGTAATGATGCTATACCTGACAATGCTAGAAGCCAATCATATTCTTTAAGAGATACAACCTCAACCAGTCACATTGCAAAATCAATTGCAGTGCAGCCATCATTGGAATTTGGAAAAAATGAAGGGGACATCTTAATTTCTCAACATATTGGTCGACAAAATTTCAGTGTTTGTGAAGAGGAACATTATTGTGGGGGATATTTTAGCAGGGATGTTCTATTTGAATTGTTTGTTTCCTTCATATTGTGCTTATGTTATTTTTGTTCTTTGAACAAATGATCTCTGATCATAATTGTTCATTATTGTGGCAAAGTGCAATACTGTCCTTTGTTTTAAACGAAACAAATAATCATAGGTAGAATTCTTCAGGAAGTGAGAGTTGAGCATTGATATTGTCTATGATAAAGTTTTCATATTAATTTTAAATGGGTTCCTTTCCATGGATGGCTACAATTATCTTTGAAATGGGTAGAAGTGGTTTTGGGGTTGAATATTTAAACAAGTTTTTCAAACTGATTTGCATTCAGTGTGCACTGGTGTAAAAGATGGCTGATGATTCACAATTGTCAGACACATTGGGTGGATATTTTGATCGTAAGTTAGAATACCCAGAATCAGATAGCACATGTTTTATGAACTATGAACTTATTCGATTGAAGAGCTTTGAGAATTGGCCAAAGGACAACAAAGTATTTGCTATTCACTTAGCTGCAGCAGGTCTTTACTATATAGGAAGTGGACAGACTGTAAAGTGCTTCCAGTGTGATTTCATTAAAGAACACTGGCAAAAAGGAGAGATCCCTTTTGATGCTCATAAAAGATTTAACCCTAGATGTCCGTTCATTGATAGTAGTTGTAGAACAAATATTCCAGTACCTTTAACAAATAGAAAACTACCTGACAAATTTAATAAGATAAAAAGTTTGTTAGAATCAACACATACAGAACAGACAAGTATGTCTGCAACCAGTTTACCAGAGGTGTCGCGTTCACCTATTTCCTCACAATTTGGAGAGTTCAGTCGGTCAAGGTCACTGGAACCACCAAATGACTCTATAAGAGTCAACCAAAGTCCTTCCATCAATCGTTCATTAGAAAGGTTTCCTCAGAGAATTCCAAGTTTACCAGAGGTGCGTGCTAATGTTACTGATGATGAACAAAGAGGTGCCAGTCACATCCCAAGCTCCAATTCTTCATTTTCGAGTCGTAGAATGCTGAACCAAAGGAGCCAGTCTGTGGAAAGCTCATTTGCAGGACCAGCTTCTACAACATCAAGAAGTACAGTTAGACCAAGAGATGTTCAAGAAATAAGGACAATGTCCAATCCTGGAACACTAGGGTCTTCAGGATCAGGGAGTTCATCGAGAATGTCTGTTTCAGGATCATCTGGTAGGGTTTCTCAGTCAGAATCAGCTAGTTCAGGTAGGGTTTCCAACTCTAGAACTTCTGGATCATGGAGAGTGTCTCATCTTGGAACTGCAGGACCCCTTCAATCTGATAATTCAGTGTTTCAAAGGGCAGTACTAGAGAAAGACCCAGGTGTCCTGCGTTTTGAAAGAAATAGACTGGAGACATATCGAACATGGCCTCCAAATTCTCCTGTGAATCCTCGCGACCTTGCAAAATCTGGGTTTTACTACACAGGATCAGATGATCGTGTTCAGTGTATATATTGCCGTGGTATTCTTAAAGGCTGGGATCCAGGAGATGTAGTACATATTGAACATAGAAACAAGTTTCCCAGATGTCCATTTATTTTAGGGATGAATGTAGATAATATTCCTTATACTCCAAACCAGACATCTTCGGGAACCACTAACGCTATCAACCAGAATTCAAGATTTTCTCAGCAGGCACCCTCACAGATGGAGGCTCTCGGTATAAACACAGACAGACCAAAACATCCCCACTATGCTATAGAATCAGCACGTCTGTCTTCATTCAGGACATGGCCAACTTACAAACACCAAACACCAGAGCTTCTGTCAAAGGCTGGCTTTTTCTATGCTAGTAAGTGTGCATTTGTCATATTACTGACATAACATAACTGTGTTTTTGAAATCAAAATTAATACATTTCTTTGCATGGCCTATTATATATTTTTAACCCACCTTAATCATACATTTGGCTATTCAAATCTGCTCTGCATCGATGGTCCGTCCTGATCTCCTTCCTCAGTTTTTCACCAATATCTCTGAAACTTGGTTGGGTTTTAGTCATTTTTATTATCATTTCCTGAAATGGACTATATTGGTATTTTTCTTACTGTGAAAGTTTACAATTTTTGAAAGAAAGTATTATTGCTGTTTTTTTGTTGTTTTTTCTTAAACATTTTTATCTTGGTCACATGTCTCCTTCACCAGTTTTCAACCAATTTCTTTGAAAACTTTGTAGGTTTTTAAATCTCATCATGAGATTGTGTTCTCAGTTGATAAAAAAGGTATTGCCTTTTGTTTTACTCAGCATTTTAGTCTTTTTTCTGTTTATTTTCCACTCATGTCTTTAGAAATTGATATACTCTGATTTATCATTAAAATATATAGCACTGTTTCTCTACTGGACAGTTTTACTTATTATTACCATTTCCATATTGATACAACAAATCCTGTATATCTTTGACATGGGATGGGCCTGTTTGATATATACCATGGAATTGATTTTTTCTTTAAGCTTAATAATATTAAAAGAACATTGTGGAATAAGTTGTTCCAAACTAAATGGATCATTTCTGTTGGAACAGATGGAAAGAAGCGAGAGATCTTACTATGATAAAATACTGGTATACCCAGGGATAACATATGTCATCAGGAAGGTGACCCCATTCCTTTATGTGTTAGCTTTGGGAATCAAACCCAGGATGCCTAGGTGAAAGAGAATCATGTTATCAATATGCAATCTAAGATTGTTAAAAAAATAGGAAATTTTTACCTGTATTGCACTTTATTTACATGTACATATATTTTAGATTTTGGAGACAATGTAAAATGCTTTTATTGTGATGGTGGCCTAAAGAACTGGGAACCTGGAGACAACCCATGGGAGGAACATGCCAGATGGTTCCCAAAATGTCCATTTGTCCGCAACGTTAAGGGAGAGGATTACATCCAATCAGTGCAGAACAGGTTTAACACTGGAGCACAACAAGTAAGGTTCTGAAATACTTATACATTCACATCCACTGAACAGGGAAAGCAGTGGTAAACAACAGGTAGAGATTGAGTATGGTATACTATGTGGATAACAGTAGCATACAAAGGTAGGTATCAAATACTGGTACACTGCTGGGAAGAGTAACAGTAGCACACAACATGTAAGGGTCATGGATGAAATACTGGTACACAATAGGTAAGGGTGATGGGTGAAATACTGGTACACTGCTGGGAAGAGTAACAGTAGCACACAACATGTAAGGGTCATGGGTGAAATACTGGTACACAATAGGTAAGGGTCATGGGTGAAATACTGGTACACAATAGGTAAGGGTCATGGGTGAAATACTGGTACACAACAGGGGAGAGTAACAGTGGCACACAACATGTAAGGGTCATGGGTGAAATACTGGTACACAACAGGTAAGGGTCATGGATGAAATACTGGTACACAACAGGGGAGAGTAACAGTGGCACACAACAGGTAAGGGTCATGGATGAAATACTGGTACACAATAGGTAAGGGTCATGGGTGAAATACTGATACACTGCTGGGAAGAGTAACAGTGGCACAAAACAGGTAAGGGTCATGGGTGAAATACTGATACGCTGCTGGGAAGAGTAACAGTGGCACACAACAGGTAAGGGTCATGGGTGAAATACTGGCACACAACAGGTAAGGGTCATGGGTGAAATACTGGTACACAACAGGGGAGAGTAACAGTGGCACACAACAGGTAAGGGTCATGGGTGAAATATTGGTACACAACAGGGGAGAGTAACAGTGGCACACAACAGGTAAGGGTCATGGGTGAAATACTGGTACACAACAGGGGAGAGTAACAGTGGCACACAACAGGTAAGGGTCATGGGTGAAATACTGGTACACAATAGGTAAGGGTCATGAGTGAAATACTGGTACACAATAGGTAAGGGTCATGGGTGAAATACTGGTACACAACAGGGGAGAGTAACAGTGGCACACAACAGGTAAGGGTCATGGGTGAAATATTGGTACACAACAGGGGAGAGTAACAGTGGCACACAACAGGTAAGGGTCATGGGTGAAATACTGGTACACAACAGGGGAGAGTAACAGTGGCACACAACAGGTAAGGGTCATGGGTGAAATACTGGTACACAATAGGTAAGGGTCATGAGTGAAATACTGGTACACAATAGGTAAGGGTCATGGGTGAAATACTGGTACACAACAGGGGAGAGTAACAGTGGCACACAACAGGTAAGGGTCATGGGTGAAATACTGGTACACAACAGGGGAGAGTAACAGTAGCACACAACAGGTAAGGGTCATGGGTGAAATACTGGTACACAACAGGGGAGAGTAACAGTGGCACACAACATATAAGGGTCATGGGTGAAATACTGGTACACAACAGGTAAGGGTCATGGGTGAAATACTGGTACACAACAGGGGAGAGTAACAGTGGAACACAACAGGTAAGGGTCATGGGTGAAATACTGGTACACAACAGGGGAGAGTAACAGTGGCACACAACAGGTAAGGGTCATGGGTGAAATACTGGTACACAACAGGGGAGAGTAACAGTGGCACACAACAGGTAAGGGTCATGGGTGAAATACTGGTACACAACAGGGGAGAGTAACAGTGGCACACAACAGGTAAGGGTCATGGGTGAAATACTGGTACACAATAGGTAAGGGTCATGAGTGAAATACTGGTACACAATAGGTAAGGGTCATGGGTGAAATACTGGTACACAACAGGGGAGAGTAACAATGGCACACAACATGTAAGGGTCATGGGTGAAATACTGGTACACAACAGGTAAGGGTCATGGGTGAAATACTGATACACTGCTGGGAAGAGTAACAGTGGCACACAACATGTAAGGGTCATGGGTGAAATACTGGTACACAACAGATAAGGGTCATGGGTGAAATACTGGTACACAACAGGTAAGGGTCATGGGTGAAATACTGATACACTGCTGGGAAGAGTAACAGTGGCACACAACATGTGAGGGTCATGGGTGAAATACTGGTACACAACAGATAAGGGTCATGGGTGAAATACTGGTACACAACAGGTAAGGGTCATGGGTGAAATACTGATACACTGCTGGGAAGAGTAACAGTGGCACACAACAGGTAAGGGTCATGGGTGAAATACTGGTACACAACAACGGATAACATTAAAAACAATTGGGTAAGGATGAAATACTGGACGTACACTATAGGGAAGGGGGTTGGGATAACAGTAGCACACAGCAAGTAAGGATCAGATGCTGTCACATGATGGGGAGAGAGATTATATTGAGACACGACAAGGGTACAACTAGTACAGTACTAGTGAGGATAAAAATAGCACACAACAGGTAAAGGTCAAATGCATGTACTTGTACACTACAAAGTTAAAGGTTAAGTCTAAATACTGTTACACTAGTAAACTTATACAAAACAGGTAAGGGTCTGAAAAACTGGTATACTAATAAGGAACTAATATTGGTACATAACAGAACATAACATAGGTATTACTACATAACTTGAGTAACAGTACATAACATGGGTAACAGTATATAACATATGTAAACACATATGTTCTATTAGTTATAGTCTTCGAAGAAATCATCTTAAAATTAACAAATTTTTCCTTTGTCCCATAAAAACGTTATGGTTGTCTTGTTTACTGGAGTTTGAAAAGACTGGACTTTATAGTTGATGGAAAGAGGAGTAAGCATGTCTTCTTTATGCACCACAAACATATACATGTATTTTAAGTTGTTTTTTTGTAATTCTTTACAGAACATTGTCAATAGAGGGAGAAAGAGGCATTCAGGTAAATTTTATATAATTATGGAAGACATACACATAAATTTACTGCTTGATCTTCATCTTGTTCTCTTTCGCGTTCTTGTAGTATAATCTTGTCTGATGAAGCATGAACCATTTAAATTAATTATTCACATGTGGTCTTCACATTAAGGTCAAAGGTCAAATGGGTGCAAAATTTCTTATGCAGTCTTGCCCAGAAAATAATTTTTGGATTGTGAAACACATATTGATGGAACTTAAAACATACCTGCATTATTCACTGGGGGAGTGCAGTGCAATGAAATCATGTTACAGTGACCTCAAGGTCAAATGTCAAATATATGCAAAATTTCTTTTGAATCTTATCCAAATGTTAACTTTGGAACTGACCAGTATGATAAGATGGAACTTGAAACATAACTGTATCAGTTGGAGTGCAGTGTACTTAAATAAGGCCAAAGGTTAAATTAGTGATTTTTTGTCTGGAACATCACTATTGAACCTTTATGGATTTGTGATGTAACATTTAATACCTGCTTTTCCTACAGGTGGATATGGGCAGTGTGCAATGAAATTGGGTCATGTATGACCTTCACCTCATTGTCATTGTTAACAAGTATATTTATTGGTTCAATAAATTTTTTTTGTCGAGACCATAATTTTCAAACTCTTTGGGATATACTGATCAGACTGAAAATTCACCTAGATTAAATGGCAGAGCAATCTGGTCAGAGATTAAGCTCAAACTTAAAACTATTTAGTGGTTTATATTATATATAGATTTCTGAAGTAAAGGTGATCAAAAGCAATTGACAGTGCACTTGATTAGCAGATTGGATATAAATATGAAATTGCATGTATGTTCTTGATATGTTGCCCAAAAAAATTTCTGGTTGTAAAAGAGTTGATTTAAACCAAAGACATTTTTATAGTGATTGAGTTAATACAGAAACAAACACATTAATACAATTCTTGATCTCTAAGTTAATTTCTGTTACCTCTATACTGTTGTTGATAAGTACTGTCAATATTGTATTAGGTCAGCGATTTCCTATAGAGGAAAGAGAGATTAAAGCACGGATGGAACTACCTATGGTGCGAGCTGTACTGGATACTGGAATGGACAGAAATGTTGTTATGCAGGCCATCAGGAACAGAATGGAGGATATTGGTAATATACACTGTACTAAATATGGTGGATTAAATCCATAACTACAGATGCATTATGGGCATGATTGGTAATTAGATCGCCAATTATAAATTGTGATGAAAACAGAAACAAATTCATATGCACAGATAATGTTAGTCTGGTCTAATTTTAATAAAAATATTAATGCAAAATGAAACATGATTTAGAATTTTTATAGAATCCAACTTAAGACAAAATTGAAATTAGTGCTCTTGAGCACAGCCATTGGTAAGTGTGAAGTTAAACTGGTTGTTTTGTGTCATGCATTGGTAAGCCTGAAGTCAAACTGGTAGTTTTGTGTCATGCAGGAACTTTATCATTACTTTGAGAAACTTTGACTTTTTTATTTGCATGAAGCTCATGTAATTTGTTATTTGTCTACATGAGGTTTTTGTTATGAGTTAGCCCTGTAAGGCAGTGCTTCATCATTGGTTTGTCTAACTTTTTTTATACTTAGGTAAGCTGAAAAATTTCAACCTCAACAGTGAGCTTGTGCTGTTCTCATAACTGATGTTGGTGAACTTCACAATTATTGATCACTCATGCCAATTTTTTTTACAAACCTTTTGCTGACTGTCATTACATCTTCATTCATTCCAAGTGAAAGTCAACAGTTTTTATAAGTAATATATTTTGCCAAAAGTATATCTTTGCTTTTTCAACTGGAAAAATGATTCTTTAATCTTATCATGAATTCCAGTAATATTTCATGCTGTTAGGTGATGACTTTCCCAATGCTGAGACCTTGATGAATGCTGCCTTGGAAATCATTGATGATCCTGAACAGTTCAGTGTGGTGAAATCAAGACGTTCAGGATCAGTCTCTCCCTCTAATGATCGAAGTGAAACAGTTGCAGAAGCAGCTTGTATGTATTTTTTTGTAAAGAGAATTTTTTTAGCGATATTAAGACTTCTTGCCAAAGTCAAGTCTATTAAGTTAATTCTTTGTGATTTTACTCGTTTGAAGTGATATGTTGATAGTTAGTAGAGGATCAGAAGTAAATATTGAGTATAGCTCTTAATTTATACTCTATTTTCCAGTGTCTAATTAAACTAATTATCTCTAAGTGTCCTAAGGGTACCCACATTGTTACAGGTGTGAAATTCCCCTGTCTCATAAGTCTTATGAAAATAATAAGTAACTTCTTACATAGTCTATGATTCATGTAAGATTTGTAGACCTAATTTTATAAATACCCATGCTCCTGAACTTGAGCACCACTCTATAAAATAACTCCACCCCTTATAACTTAGTACATTGTTTATCCTTGCTTTATAACTACTGTTTTCGAAATGCTTCCCCCTCAGTCCTTATACTGTGCAGGTAGAACCTAGTTTATGATCTTAAGCATGTTTTGTTTTTGTTGTGCTTTTCTTTTATAACCTTATTTAGGAAAACCACCTTTTCCCCACAAATGAACCAATCCTTAGAATCCAATCAAAGAAATGTTGGCGAGTGGCCAAAGTCATATGCTGTAGGGTTATCCGCAAACAACATCAAACATTACAAATATAATGTCCGAGATCAACCAGAGAAAAGATAGAGAATGTAACAGTGTTAAACACGGTATTCCAGAGCTCAAATTACCAAATACAAATGAAAAAAACAACAAATGACACCAAAATGGTGAACCTCATACTGGGTACCTGTAACATAGGCAATGTAGATAAAGAAGTTATCAGGTGTTCACGACTTGGCAAATTCAACAAAGGGAGTGCAAGTGAGAAACGGAAAGACAATACTGTGTTGGTATCTCTTGGCAAAATAGAAACCACAAAAGATATTTTCGAAAACATCAAGAATTTCACAAGGACAGGTTATATTCAATAATATAAAGATAAGCAATGATTTAACAGAGGCAGAGAGGGAAAAGGAGAATTACCAGGTAGTTATGGGAGCAGGCAAAAGAGAAATGACAACAGAATCAATCGTGGGGGGTGGGGGGGGGGATTCACGTACAATGTCCAGGGCACACCTTTGGCCAGAAAGGTTTCAAAAGTATGGATTCTTAAAAACAATGTTGAGAGTAAGATACCAGAATAATAAAGCCTCTATTAACCACCGAGGGAAAAAAAAATTTTTATTAACAACCTCAAATGTATGTCCACATACACAGACCAGCTAAAAAACTAAATGTCAGAATTAAACATTAGAGTAAAAGATATGAAACCAAATATAATAGGTATCACAGAGGTCAAAGCAAAGTCTAGATTTCAGAACACAAAAACAGAAGAGCAAGTTATAGATGGGAATACAAACTACACACTGTTAAGCAGAAACATTGAAAATGCAGAGGGTAGTGGTCTATTGCTTTTTATCAACTCGAAACTGAGAGCTGACGAGGTAAAAATGGAAACATCATTCCAGGAAAACGGTTAACCTGTTTATTGAAATAAGTATAAGCAATAACACAAAGATCCTATTAGGCCTTATTTGTAGATTAGACTCTGGAACAGCTGAGAACAACATGTTACAAGATCTTGTAGAAGAGACAACCCAGAAATACTTTGAAAAAATATTAATAATGGGAGATTTTCATTACCCAGGGATAAATTGGGAGTAGTGGAGCACAAGAGGTGAAAGCACCGAAACCCAGGAATATAAATTATTACAAAAGCTACAAGACAACTTCCTCTTGGAACATGTAGAGGAGCCAACAAGATGGCGAGAGAAAGATAACCTGCATATTCTTGATCTAGTTATGACAAGGGATAAAAACTTGCTCTCAGGTATGGTGTATCATACTGCGCTAAGAGGGACCACTGTGTCCTAATCTTTGAAATAATATGTAATGTAAAACTTAATCTACGAAAGAAAAAGAAAATTTGCTACAAAAAGCTGACATTTTCAGTAGTGTTTTTGTAAATGAAGATACTGGGACTACACTGCAACTAAAGCAAGAAATTATTGAGAAAATGACAACCCTCAGGGTTAATTGTGATACGGTATTCAAGTTACTCATAAGTCTGAAGCGGGAAAGGTCACCGGGACTGGACGAAATCCAACAAATGTTTCTCAGAAGCACTGCCTCGTCAATATCAGTCAATATCCTTTAACAAAAAATTTCAACCAATCCTTATCTACAGGAATATTACCAGATGGCTGAAAAAGAGCTCGAGTTTGTGCTATCTACAAGAAAGGTGATAAAAGTGAAGCAGAAAACAATTGGCCAGTTAGTCGAACATCAGTCGTATGTAAAATTTTAGAGTCTATAATCGGGGAACATTAAACAGAATTTATGAGAACAAACAAATACTTTTCAGACAACAAGTGTGGTTTTATATCTGGAAGATTGACAAGCTTGCAACTATTAGAAGTCTTAGATAAATGGACAGAAGCTGTGGATAAAGGACAGGTGATAGATTGTATCGACACGGACTACCAGAAAGCATTTGATACAGTTCCATACTCCAGACTCCTTTATAAACTAAAAGCATTTAATTTCTACAACCAAATGATCTCATGGATATCAGCATTACTGATAGGACGACAACAAAGAGTTTCTGAAAATTGGGCAGATTCTGATTAGGCTAATGTTACATCAGGAATTCCCCAAGGCTCCATGCTAGAACCATTGATGTTCGTAATGTTGTAAATTATCCATCTGGATATGTACCTATTGCAGGCGACACAAAAGTATTTAAAATGGTTAAAGATAAGCAGGATAGTGTAGAGCTTCAAAATTATCTTGATACAATGTGGGAGTGGAGTAAAACATGGGTACTTATGATGCACCCTGACAAGTGTAAACATGGGTATAGGCAAGAAAAGGAGCAGAGGCCAGAATGAAGTAGAACCAGCCTACCATCTATTATCGGAAAAGGTTAAAAAAGCAAACTCAATGTTTGCTCTTCTTCGAAGGACCTTTCAATTCTTGGATGATCAGTTGTTTATTCAGCTTTATAAATGCTTGGTCATATCACAGCTGGACTACTCCAGTCCAGTTTGGGCACCACACCTACATAAACATAGTGACAATATAGAGACAGTGAAGAGCAACTAAGTGTCTCTCGGCAAGATTTGACCTACAGCGAAAGGTTGAAGAAACTTACGCTACCAACGCTTGCTTTCAGGAGAATCACGGTGTTAGAACTGTACTAAATTTACGATAATGAATGTTTTAATATTATCACATTATGGAAAGATGCCACAGGTCGCCACAGTCATAGAGGTCATATGGAAAAAACATTCCCAAAACAACCCATAGATATACTCAGGAAAACTTATTTTTCAATCAGAACTATTAATTTTAAAATAGGCTTAATAATCACTGGAAAAACCAAGATCTTTTCTTTGATTACAAAGAAACAATCGAATATTGACATCCAAGTACAAGACTTGATAGATGTATTGAAAAATTATTGATTATTTGTTATGTGTGAGTCTGGTTTAGAGGACATTGACAAAGTCCTGCACTAGATTAAACTTATCTTGTCTTAGAAATGTCATCTGTGACACATAAATATTTACATGGTATTGACCTAGCTTTTGTATATGATGGAACAGTTCATATGTAGTGTATTTATACAATTTCATTTATTATGGGATTCTAACATTTTTTTGTTTTGTTTTTAAGCTGAAGATCCTAGCAGCTCAAATGGCGAAAAATTCAATTCGGGAAAGTCGGATGATCAAGGTAACTTTGGATTTTGCTTTCTTTGTTTAATATCCCATAAATAGCTTGGATCATTTTGAGGCAAGGTCTCTTCATAGTAGCTGGTGGGTGTCTCACATTTAGTGGAAGGTTATCTGCATGCTATCCAGATTTGAGATAAAATGTTTTTCCCAAGGACACTTTCACAAAACTGCAATAGATACGATGGGCATATTAGATCTACATGTTGTCTTAGTCTAGAATTTATCTTGTGTGTTGATATGTTCTTGCCTCTGTCTTTGGTTTTAATTTGAAACAGGCCAAAGTAAACTCTGGTGACTTGAAACACAAAAAAAACTTCTGTTCATGTAGAAGACTTTACTGAATGTTGCAGAAGAAGAGTTCTGTAGCTACTTTTGTTTTATTTCATCTTTAGATACATCTTCCTTCTTATTCACAGTATATATACCATGTATTTTATATTATGTTTTGATGTGTTTAGATCTTAGCGAGGAGATTCGAACATTGAAAGACCAGAAAACATGCAAGATCTGTCTGGATAAGGAGGTGGGAATGGTATTTTTGCCTTGTGGTCACCTCTGTGCTTGTGTCACATGTGCTCCAGCTGTACAGCATTGTCCTATCTGTCGCTGTGAAATCAGGGGAACTGTCAGAACCTACATGTCATGAGATAGCCTGTTACATCTGCTGTGATTCAAAATTAATGAAAAGTAGCTATACTGTGACATCAGTGAAACTGTCTAAATCTATATGTTGTGAGGAGGTGTCATGTTTGGTGTGATTCAGTTTTACAGAAAATGTCCTATCTGTGGCTGTGATGAGGGGAACCATCAGAACCTACATGTCATGAAGTGGAGAATTATGTCTGCTGTTACACAACTTAACAGAAAAATGTCCTATATGGGGCTGTGATATGAGGGGAACCATCAGAACCTACATGTCATGAAGTGGAGAATTATGTCTGTTGTTACACAACTTTAAAGAAAAATGTCCTATATGGGGCTGTGATATGAGGGGAGCCATCAGAACCTACATGTCATGAAGTGGAGAATTATGTCTGTTGTTACACAACTTAACAGAAGAATGTCCTATATGGGGCTGTGATATGAGGGGAGCCATCAGAACCTACATGTCATGAAGTGGAGAATTATGTCTGTTGTTACACAACTTAACAGAAGAATGTCCTATATGGGGCTGTGATATGAGGGGAGCCATCAGAACCTACATGTCATGAAGTGGAGAATTATGTCTGTTGTTACACAACTTAACAGAAGAATGTCCTATATGGGGCTGTGATATGAGGGGAGCCATCAGAACCTACATGTCATGAAGTGGAGAATTATGTCTGTTGTTACACAACTTAACAGAAGAATGTCCTATATGGGGCTGTGATATGAGGGGAGCCATCAGAACCTACATGTCATGAAGTGGAGAATTATGTCAGTTGTTACACAACTTTAAAGAAAAATGTCCTATATGGGGCTGTGATATGAGGGGAACCATCAGAACCTACATGTCATGAAGTGGAGAATTATGTCTGTTGTTACACAACTTTAAAGAAAAATGTCCTATATGGGGCTGTGATATGAGGGGAGCCATCAGAACCTACATGTCATGAAGTGGAGAAGTATGGTTGGTCAGTAATTATCTGCTGTAGTTTAATCTTGTTATGAAGTCATCAGTGTCATTAGAATCAGAACTTAAACTGTTTGGTTGTTCATGTCTATGGTGATGTCATAATTACTAGTGAACTTACTCCTCTCATTGTACTAATACAAATCATTTCTTTACAGATGATTGAAATTCAGTGTTAGGACATTGACTCTGTAGTATAGAAATATTTGAGAGGGATGTACACGATCCCTTACATTAGGAGATAATATTGGAATCCTCTCTGTGTGACGCAGACTCGAAAAAAGAAACCACCCTAATTGATTTGAATTGGCCTTTTTTTCACTTTTTTGTTTGTTTTCTCTAGATGGATTTGCTATGAATATTGATATTAAATATTTTACAGTGTTACTTCAGACCTAGTTTTACTCACAGTTTTGATGATACAAGAGTCGTTTATTTTCATCTACTACTGCTGTATGTTGCATGCAATGTGGAATTTAACGTGATATATGGAATTGTTGGTCTGGTTAGGAATTCTCCATCTCTACCCAAGTTCAAGATGAATAGAACCAATTAATGCAGTGTTTCTAAGATGGCCCCTATTCTTCACTATCCACATCATAACAGGTATGAAATTCCCTTGTCTCACCCTCTTGTTGAGATAGGGAAAGATCGCATCAGCACTGCCTAGCATTTAAATAACATCACATACATGTACAAGTAAACAAACAACATCATCACGTACATGTACAAGTAAACAAACAACATCATCACATACATGTACAAGTAAACAAACAACATCATCACATACATACAAAACAAGTAAACAAACAACATCATCACATACATGTACAAGTAAACAAACAACATCATCACATACATGTACAAGTAAACAAACAACATCATCACGTACATGTACAAGTAAACAAACAACATCATCATGTACATGTACAAGTAAACAAACAACATGTACAAGTAAACAAACAACATCATCACATACATGTACAAGTAAACAAACAACATCATCACGTACATGTACAAGTAAACAAACAACATCATCATGTACATGTACAAGTAAACAAACAACATCATCACGTACATGTACAAGTAAACAAACAACATCATCACATACATGTACAAGTAAACAAACAACATCATCACATACATGTACAAGTAAACAAACAACATCATCACATACATGTACAAGTAAACAAACAACATCATCACATACATGTACAAGTAAACAAACAACATGTACAAGTAAACAAACAACATCACCACATACATGTACAAGTAAACAAACAACATACACAAGTAAACAAACAACATCATCACATACATGTACAAGTAAACAAACAACATCATCACATACATGTACAAGTAAACAAACAACATCATCACATACATGTACAAGTAAACAAACAACATCATCACATACATGTACAAGTAAACAAACAACATCATCACATACATGTACAAGTAAACAAACAACATCATCACATACATACAAAACAAGTAAACAAACAACATCATCACATACATGTACAAGTAAACAAACAACATCATCACATACATGTACAAGTAAACAAAGCAGGTGAAAGATATTTGGACTGATTAGGATTTTTTATGCATGGATAACAAAAGATTTAAGCTCTGGTTAAACCCTATCTGGAGTAAGCCAGCTAGTACGGTTGCCAAACAAGAAAAAAGACATTAATTCAATTGAAAATGAACAAAGGCATGCCAATCAGTATGTGGACATGATCAATGTGTGCAAGTTTGTAATTGAAAAATACAACAAGAGAGTAACTACAGATCAACTACATTTGATCTACAATTGAAGCACACAGAGCATTTCCAGGAAACTGTTGAAATACCATCACTAGAAAGATGTAATATATATATATATTGTATAGTTGATATGTTAAACAGTGTGAAATATGAGGTAATGAGAGCTATACAAACATTCATCAACTACATATGATAGATAAATCGTTGGAGACTGATCCAATGACATATAACTTCAGTAAAGGCTATAGACTAATCAAGATACAATTAATAATTAGGATAAGTACATGTATGTAAGGAGATCAATTATACGGACCTGCAAAAATAATCGCCTTGACAAGGAATTTCGCTTCCAGGGATTGCAAAAATAATCGCCTTGGCAAGGGATTTCGCTTCCAGGGATTGCAAAAATAATCGCCTTGGCAAGGGATTTCGCTTCCAGGGATTGCAAAAATAATCGCCTTGACAAGGGATTTCGCTTCCAGGGATTGCAAAAATAATCGCCTCGGCAAGGGATTTCGCTTCCAGGGATTGCAAAAATAATCGCCTCGGCAAGGGATTTCGCTTCCAGGGATTGCAAAAATAATCGCCTCGGCAAGGGATTTCGCTTCCAGGGATTGCAAAAATAATCGCCTCGACAAGGGATTTCGCTTCCAGGGATTGCAAAAATAATCGCCTCGACAAGGGATTTCGCTTCCAGGGATTGCAAAAATAATCGCCTCGACAAGGGATTTCGCTTCCAGGGATTGCAAAAATAATCGCCTCGACAAGGGATTTCGCTTCCAGGGATTGCAAAAATATTCGCCTCGACAAGGGATTTCGCTTCCAGGGATTGCAAAAATAATCGCCTCGACAAGGGATTTCGCTTCCAGGAATTGCAAAAATAATCGCCTCGACAAGGGATTTCGCTTCCAGGAATTGCAAAAATAATCGCCTCGACAAGGGATTTCGCTTCCAGGGATTGCAAAAATAATTGCCTCGACAAGGGATTTCACTTCCACGGATGATCTTGTGTTTGACAACTCAAGAATCTTACCTTAGGGTAAAGATCTGCACAACTAATTCCCAAATAGGTAAAAGATTGTGTTAATGTCAGCCAACAATTGATATTCTACAACAAAATCACAATAAAGAGAAGTTTGGAATGAGATGTTACATTAACAGTCCAAAACTATATACACCTATAAATTATGTATTAAACACATTGTTAATAGATACTTAAATTAAAGTTCAAGACTTCCTATCTGGAATAGGTGTCAGAAAAACTTTTTTTTTTTTGGATAGCTAAAACATTGTTCTTATCGCGGAGTCATAGAAAGGTGACTTAAGACAGACTGGCAAGATAGAAAAAACTGAAACACATGAAAGTTCCTGAAAGAGAAAATAATCCTTGGAAAAAAAGTGTGTATATGTATACCATATCATGGATATGACAAATCTGTGTTTCATCCTGGGGTTGAGATAGTTATGGTAAGTTCTATGTCACACTTAAAAATCTTTACACACAAATATTGAAGGAAGAAAGGAAAGTCCAGTCTGATCACTATCTGGTCTTATTTATTCAGTGCTGTCCATTATGTATTACTATGTTAAATGATGTATGAAAAGACCTAGTCACTTGTCTATTTAATTATCAATGAAAATGTTTTACAACTTCATTAATTTAAGCACTACTTAATTATGGTTGAAACAGTTAATACTTAATTAGTAAAACATAGTATTCTTAGCTTAATTATACTGTTTTTACTCTTTAATGACTATATCCCATGTAAAATTACCAATCTCACTACTCCTTTCCTTTGCATCCCACCAAGCTTGCTGATTACTTTAAACACGAACTTCTAGATCGACTTAAAAGAACGCAGTGTCTTAAAGCTTGTGTCTTAATGCTGGTAGAATAGATGTAAGAAGATGTACAATGTATTGGGACTGTTTAATCAGTCTTTTTAATTCAAGGAAGAATGTATTGTGGGTAATAATTGTTTGTGTATTTTTCTTTTGGACTATTACATGCATTATGAATTACTTTATTATTTTGCTCAAATCTTTAATAATATATTAAACATAAATACTTTCAACTCTGTTTGTTTTATCTTTATCGAATAGTTATAATGCACACAACAATTACGCTACCACACAATGTAAGTCAGTCATTTCAGTCAGTTAAGGTAACTTCAGAGTCTCCCACTTTACAAATCGAACATTTCAAATACTAAGCTGAATCTGGGAAAATGTGTGAAGTATAGGTTCACACAAGTTGACTTCAGTGTTTGAATTATTCTTTTACTATCGTTAAGTTGTCGGGGAGGGGGGACACATGAAGGTGGCAGTAACCAAATACAAGCCACCAAATATATGCATTGAGCATCACTACGTGTTGATTGTTACCTGTGCGTAACATAATAAAACCATTAGCATGACATACCTACTTGTACAACACCACGCCCCACGAATTGCAGTGATCGACCATGTATATTTTACTTCGTGCCAACATTTCTTGTCCAATTTCATTAAAGTCCATTTGAGTTAATGTGCAATTTTCTGCAGCGAAGATTATGACAGAAATGTTGAACATCATCATATATTCGACAGGCACAAACTAACATCGAAATTCATGTAATATTGAACCGAAGTTGATGGTAACTGAGTGTACATGGTTAAGGTGTAAGGAATATTCATGTTTTCTACTGAAGCTTGTTTTCTGGCTCCTATGTTACACATATACTGACAGTTGCACTTGCCCTAATAATGTTGATTATTTCGTCTAAATATTGGTCCAAATCTGAAAGCGTTTTCAAAGTAGGAGAGTTCCAAACGCAACTCCGGAGTTTTCTAGTTCCTGTTTGGGTTTTCTACTTACCTTAAATGTTGGTAGATGTTTTAATATTCTACTTCAAAGTTAATTCACTTAGCAATATTTCTTTTTCCTGATCTTATTTTGGGTGAAAAAAACCCAAACATTTTAGACACTTTTCCGTATAGAATGTAAGTACCAATCTTTATGAAAAACAAAAGATATATTCCGTTAAAATTAGTTAGAGACATCAGAACCCTTGTAGCCTTTCGAAAGGCATGTTGACGACCTGTTCAGTTTACACATGATGCGGTACCCTATGACGGTTACAATATTCATGTGTAACTCGCCAACAGAAATAACGAATCATTTATTTTATTTCAAATAGTTTAAAATTTATTTTGTGGAAGGTGATAAGTATGATTTACGAATAAACACGTAAGTCAGTTTGAGTTATCGCCCTTCGCTTGTACACGGAGGCCAGCAGGTGGAACGCCACCATCTTCGTGGTTAATCGTGAAAAAATCCTGCCGGATAATTATCAAAAGGGAAATGAATGCCTTTCTTGTTCATTTCTCCATGAGATATAATATAATATCTGCTAATTTTGAACAATAAAATTCCTCTGATTCCTAAAATCTCGCTGGGAAAGCCAGTAAACATTAGAAATAGGCTCACAAGTGTTCCATTATAGTTGATTTTTAAAACTGAAAAGATAATATTGATGTGAATATGAAAAATTAGCGTTAATGTGCACGCACATACCAAGGAAATCTGCACAATTAGATGAAATGTTTGCAAGATTTGCCGCTGAATTTGAGGAACATCTTAAAAAGCTGGAATCGTTTTGTTTGTGAACTAAAAGCAGACATATTTGCAGATATCCACAAAGATAAGACCACAACGATTGTATCTCTTTATTGTTCAGATTAACCAATCGTATTTGCTGCAATGATTGGCCATAAACATTGTACATGTAACTCTTAAACTAAAAGTGCGAATACCAACGTGACAAAAGTAATTAAAACAAAACCGGTAGATTATAACAATAACCATATTCCAAATAAAAATAATTAAACATCTTTACCTATACGACCCACATATATATATCTGGAAAATAGAGGTGGAAACCGATCCATCACTAATAAAAAAAGGTGCTGCAGAAAGTTGTGTTTCACTTTACACTACAGTCCTTTGCTGAATATTTCTCTCGACGGCGATTCGAATAGAGAAATGCCAAGGGGTTCAAACAAACAAACAAGTATATTTTAACACATACTTGGACAATGCAGCACTGCCAGAGGTACTTGACGTGCTGTCCTTGTTACTGAGAACTTTAGGATTTTTTTTAATGGCCCCGCAGTGAGAAGTATGGATGTTTTTATTACTTTGTGTATGATTGGCCAGGTTCTATGGATACCAACAATACGACTAAGTTCAATTTCATACCTGTATCAAACACAGAAAAAATCTCCAAAAATAGATTGACCAAAACCATATCAAATCTGGACCTGCATCTCCTCATAACGCAATTACGTATAGTGTCTCTATGTATCAAAGAGCAGAAATTGAGAACTCTAGAAATTTGCCATTTTGGGGATGATAAAATGGAAAATCATGCAAGATTCTGTTTATTACATTACTTATATAGTTTGCAAAGATGCGTGGAAATAGGGTACCGTCATACTCAATTGGCGATATTCACACTTCATGTCTTTGGTTACATTTAGTGAGCCCCAGCACCTGATGATAATCACGATGATAACCTTTAGTCCACGTGTATTAATAAGAAGCATTTCGTCGATCTCTGCTTAATTTTACACAAAACATGAGAACTAAATACACTTGAATACTCCCGTCATCTCGAAGTTTTTCCCATGGTCCCGCCGAGTTCGAGATAACGAGGTTCGAAATAATATACAATACCTCTGCCGACACATCTTGTTGATCCTGTTCTTATGCAGATCATATCTATTCACATTGTTCTGTTTCTGAACTGTGTATCCAAAGAGAATTAATCTTAATTCTGTTTCAAAAAAGACTTCGAGAAAACTCATCTCTCTATATTTCGATGGAATCGTCAGCTACCGAACAAACAACAGCAATGGATGCAAATAGAATATATTTATATATTTGAATAATTCTGCTCACAGCTCGTCGTAAAAGTGCATTTTTATACATACATGAACTATCCAGAGCGATTGCAAAGATTAAACAAGAACACGCGAAGATATCAAATCTAATAACTTCCAATATTGTAGATGGGGTTTCCGAACACAGCTGTCCGTTAACTTTCTAGTACATCAACACAACGGTTAACACATTCAGAAAGTATTTAATCTGTCAGATATACACTACACATATACATGACTAGGAAATAGAAAGTAATATTAATGATTCTCAGGAAAACTACCTTTAGTGTGTATTATTGAAAATGTGAGTAGAAACTGTGTAAATCGTCGTAAACATACTTTGACTTTTTTTTCTCTGGTAGAGAGTAATTCAGTACTGTCCAGCGACAATTCTAGACTCAATACCTCCCCCAGATCACAGTGTCACTTAATCAAACACATTTGTTCTAATTAAATTCTTACATTGGAATAATATTAAGTTAATAAATCCGATCTCATGTTTCGTATCTGTCATAAAGGCAAAGTAAAGTCGTCGATGGCCCTCAGTTTGTAAAATCACTTAGATAAGTTCAGGAACAGAAACGGACAGGTTAGAATTGTCAGGAACCAGCTACATGTACATGTATTTGGGTTTTTTTAATGTACAACAAACATGCCACAATGCATGCCACTATTTTATGCCATTGGAACTATAGATTTACTGTGGCTGATTTGTAAATAACCCATGAGCAGCGATACCTATGCCGTCGAAGAATAGAAGCAGTCCAAACACAAGGCACAGTATGGTGATGCCGACATATCCAGCTACTTGGGCCGACGGACGGTCGTCCTGAGCCGACGTTAGAGAGCGCATGTGCGCACTGGTATTCTTCGCATCCACTGTCATCTCCTTTGCTAATTTCTCCATCTTTGCTTTCAAAACAGGGTCGTTTTCCAAAGCATTCTCCAAGTTAGAGCATGAACAATCGCAAGATTTCATCTGACCGAGAACACTGTTAACTGTAAATAAAAAGTGATAATAAACATACCATGTACATGTATATATATATACATACTACAATTTATCCGTCTGCTTGTCTAGCAAATGTAAATGTACAGACATAAATTAGAGAAATATTTTTTGGCGATGGTTTGTCCTGGTGTCTCTTGTAATGTAAAGCAAGTATTCGATGTATGGTCTTCATTTGATATGCAAATATTAGTATTCCTGTTTAGGGGGGAAATGTATGTCTTGTGAACATTTTAAATCACTACAGTCACTCCTTCCTCGACATGATACTACAGCCAATGAATACATACCATCTATCAATAGTAACGGAGGTCTTGGCATTAAACTTGGGCCGCTTGAACAGTTAATGGTATGTCGCTATATGACGTCATGATAATCTGTTAGATCAAGTGACGTTATTCAAATCTCCAATCCGCTGCTGCAGCGAATGTGTAATTAGAAACCCCATATTGATGCTGGTATAAATTTTATGACTGAAATGATTAACATGATCATAATGATAATCATTAGAGGTAAGTCTTTCAAAAAAACAAAAAATAGATCTAAAAAAATCTCCAATCTCCAATACGAATCCGCTGCTAATGTCAGCCCCCTTCTCCAGTGATGGTTAAAACTGTCGTGCTTTTGACCAACCAGAGCGATGCTTTATAGTAACTGCGTTGAGATTCGCCGATTTTGCTGTTCTTACTAAATGAGGCGCATAGGTTGAATAAGTTGATTTCCATGAAATAATTCCGTGTGTATTTCTGATTTGGTAGATATTAACTTTTTTAATCGATTCTGTTCAGAATGCAGTATAAAATGGTAGAATACAACCCAAAAGCAACGTATTCAAAATGGCGTTACCTTGTCGTCGAACTTAATATCAAACTATCTGGCGTCAAAGAGCACGCTAATATTTCCCGTTCTTTTTTAACGTCTTTATTTTACTAGTGGGAGACATCTTAATGGAGTTTGTAGATGGAATGAGTGAAGAGAGATATCTTAAATAACGAGATTTAACGTCTTATAAATCTTATTACTCGTTATGTCCCACGGCTTTAAATCTATAATCGGTGATAAGTTTTCTTACGATATAAATCTTATGGTACTTGTCATCG